TATCCCTCATCTTGTCACTGTGCATTTTGGTTTTTTTCCGAGGTACAGTACTTTGCACTTCTCCCTGCTGAATTTCATTCTGTTGTTTTCAGCCCAGTGCTCCAGCCTATCAAAATCATTTTGAATTTTGTTTCTGTCTTCCAGGGTATTAGCTATTCCACCCAATTTTATGTCATCTGCAAAAGTATTGCTGCGCCAGGTATCCCTCATCTTGTCACTGTGCATTTTGGTTTTTTTCCGAGGTACAGTACTTTGCACTTCTCCCTGCTGAATTTCATTCTGTTGTTTTCAGCCCAGTGCTCCAGCCTATCAAAATCATTTTGAATTTTGTTTCTGTCTTCCAGGGTATTAGCTATTCCACCCAATTTTATGTCATCTGCAAATTTAACAAGCATTCCCTGCACTCCCTAATCCAAGTCATTAATAAAAATGTTGAAGAGCACCGGACCCAGGACTGAGCCTTGGGATACCCCACTTGTTACCTCCTCCCAGTTGGAGACTATGCACCCTAACTTAGTCGCACTTTAAATTCCAAAAATATTCTGGTAAATAACCTTCTAGAGGACAGGCCCAAGAATCGCAAGGCCTAAAAAAGCCTAGTATTTTCATTCAAGAAGGCCAAAAATAACATGGAATATCAAGCTTGGTGGGACCTTTCTCTGCCCTCTTAAGAAAAAGAACTAAATGCTAACAGCACACAAGTGATAATCTTTGCTAAACCCCAGGCCCCTCACTTTTTATTTCAAAAGAGAACTTCTTTTAAAAAACATGCTGACAACATACTTGTAGGGCAAGGGTTTGGAAATTGGAAGACACCTTTCTGTCTTCCAGCTGGAGAACTCGTTGAAAACAGCGCTGACTATTGCTTTGTGTTTAGGTAAGAAGTGGTTAACTGATTTTAAAAAAAGGAGTGAGGTTCTAGGTTTTTCCCTTGCTTCGTGTCTTTGTGAATAGAAGTGAGATGTTCCCTTCCCCTGCTTTCCTGGCTAATGATCCATTCACCAGTCGGAGTGCCCTCCTCTCTTTGGCTATTTCACCAGTCTCTGGCAGGAGCACAAGTCTCCCTGCCCTGCTGTTCCATATACAGCTCCTCTGCAATTTCTCCATGTACAAATGCAGTTTTGACACCTAGGTGCTTGGCTTTCATCTGTTTGAAGGCTGCCACCCTCAGGAGCATTTTATAGTGCTTGACAACAGGAGCAAAGGTTTCACATCAGTCTTCTCCATATTTCTTCAGGAACCCTTTTGCAATCAGTCTTGCCCTGTAGTGTTCCATTTCTCTTTCCGCACCCTGCTTTGCCTTGGAGACCCATTTGCACCCAATGGCTTTCTTGCCTGGTGGTAGTTTGGTCAGGTTCCACGTCTCATTCTTGTTCAGAAATGGGCATGAACCGCATCTCCTTCAGCCAAACTCTTTTTCTTCTTTGCTTTCATGTTTCCCCACTGTCTCAAGTCATTCCTTTTGCATAGTGGACAATGCTTTTGAACTGTTTGGTGCAACAGGAATTGGTCACTACAATCTGTGTAGCTGCCTTAGATCAGGTAGCAAGGTCTCTGAGGCAGGTTTTACTTAAACATTCAATCCAACTTTTTGGTACCATCAGGTCAGCAAAGGCATGGTCAACTGGTTCAAAACAGAGCGATGGCTTCCAAAACTTTAAAAGCCAAATAAAAACATGGATGTTTATTCAGGCCTTCCCTCCAGTCAATACTTGAATCTCTCTTCTCAGTTCTCCTTTATTTATTTTTACTCTATTTTCTTGGTTTCCACATTTTCATTTGTAGATTTATGTAACTATGTGGGTTTTTTGAATTAATTGTTTGTATTATAATGGAAGCCGTTCAGAGTGGCCGCATAGACCAGATGGGCGGGACACAAATCAAATCAAATCCAATGAATCAATCAATAAAACTGGGGCCCTTTGGGGTCTTACACTATAATCTTTTGGAGCTCTGAGAAATGTCATAGGCTCTTGGCAGTAATAGCTAAGGCTTCTGAGTACTATAGCCCAAAACACATTTGTATGGTCACGTTTGGGTACCTAACATAATTGTAGTTTTAGAAGTAATATATAGGCCCTTTTATTTTTTGAGAAGGGGTATGTGGAATGATATGTTCTATCTGGAAAGGGCATGTCCAAAGGTAGTTTATTAATTATATTTTTCAACCATCAAAATGGCCTTTTTTCTGGTGCTAGTTCAAAAAGCAACAAATTGTCCATTAGTGTGCATATGCTAACGTGTTATTTCCAATCTGTGCTCTGATCCCAGAGGTTGTGGTTGATGGAAGTTGAGAAACCAGCAATATCTGGAAGGCCACAGGTTTATATTTCAAACCGTCTGTGTTCCTTGCAGATACTGTTTTATTTCTAAGCTTGCTAAATTGCTTGCCATTCCCAAAACTTTCTTTGGAAGCATTTTGCAGCTTGGAAAACAAGGCAGAGAATTGTGACACAGTTCATCAGAGAATTGTTCAGAAAAATGCTTCCCTTACCCTCTTCTCTGAAAGGTTAAACAGCTTCCTCTGCTAAGGGATGCACTTAGTAAGCTCCCACAGTCACACTAATGATAGATCTCTTTGCAAAACACAATTTGAAGGTTATTGACTGTTTTCTCTGCCATAAGAAATAGGGACAGAATACTGAGAAAAATCAGTACCACCAAATGGAGATAAAACATTACTTATTCACAGCAACAAGCTAGCCTTGCCCAGAAACCTTTGCAAGGGGCAGAGAATATCACCAGTCCTGTTGTAGCCTATAAGAATTGTCCACAGTTGACCTGGTTTCTGCTTAGAAAGTGGACCAGCACAATCCTTTTCACTCCTATCTCACACCACATTAGTGGAAATGCTTAATGGAAGTAAACTGCAAGCATCTACTTAGTTGAACAAGTATCTGGAAAAAGCCAAAACATCTCTTATGTACCAAATTTGGTACTTGACACAAAGCAGAAAATGGTACTCCCTCCCCAACCGTTTAATTCAGGGACAGAGTCAAGCAAACTACTGTGGCACATGAGGACAAACATTAAACATGTTTCACTTTCTCAGGTAATAAAAACAAATTTTACCAACTAACAATTTGATATCCTCTGAGCGCAGCCAAAATCAGCCACCAGAGGCAGCCACCTAATTCCACTTAATGATGGGATTGGCCCTATGTACTACATGTGAACGGGCAGATGCAATTATATATACAGTGGTGCCTCGCTTAACGAGTGCACCGTATAGCGATGTTTCCGTTCGCTATACGGGGCACCACTGTATTTAGAATTCAGGGGCTGAAATCCAGTAGTAAGCTGTAACTAAAATAGGTTCATTGACTGGTGATTCAACTCCTTTGTAAGTTCCACTGATTCAATGTGTGATTTACTATTGAATTTCAGCCAAAGGTAAACACTGGCTAGCCAGCTCAGTGAGTTAGGTACAAAGGTAAACACTGGCTAGCCAGCTCAGTTGTGGCATCTGTGGTGTACCTGACTGCAGAGCCAGAGGTTTGTAAGTTCAAGTCCCAGGATGCCACCAGAAGGGAATGGTAAACTGCATCTGAGTATTTTCTAACTAGAAAATCCTGGGAAAGTGTCAACATGAGTCAGAATTGACTTGATGGAACAGTTAAACAATTTCTAAAAATTGAGAGCTTCCATAGATGACACTTCATGTTATTTCTAGTGTGGTACTCACTAAAAAAATTCTAATGCTTTGCTGCTAAAACCAACTGCATCACTGTAGGGCTTTTACTGTATAGACTGGGCACTGGAAGAGTGCAATTTTCTGGAAATAACAGATCAGTTGCAACCAAAAAGAGTCTAACATACAATGACGAACCAAAAAGAGTCTAACATACAATGACTGTACCCATGTCTATTTACTTCAAGCATAAACATGGCCTTGAATCCTCGATTTTATAAAAACAGTTGATAGATAGGGTATGCATTCTAGTCCAGAGGTGCCATAAGCTCACACAACTTGTGCCGGTTGTGGCATCTGTGGTGTTTGTTGTCCACTGACAAGAAGTGCCAATGTTAGCAAAAGAGTCTAACATACAATGACTGTACCCATGTCTATTTACTTCAAGCATAAACATGGCCTTGAATCCTCGATTTTATAAAAACAGTTGATAGATAGGGTATGCATTCTAGTCCAGAGGTGCCATAAGCTCACACAACTTGTGCCGGTTGTGGCATCTGTGGTGTTTGTTGTCCACTGACAAGAAGTGCCAATGTTAGCAATAACAGTGCATCTGTGGTGTTTGTTGTCCACTGACAACAAGAAGTGCCAATGTTAGTAATAACAGTTAAGATGTTTACTAATAGATATCATGGCTACAATCCAAACTGCAGTGAAACAATGCAGATATACTGTATTTGTAATGGCCTCCCATACATTTGAGTGCGTGTTTAAACCCTTCTAACAGAGTTTAAGCAACTATTTATATCCCCTCTCAATAATTCTAATTATTTCATGGGAAACACCATCCCTTCCCAAACATAATTGCGGACGTTCAACCTTGAGGGAAGAGGACACCTGGGCCCAGCTCTATTTTCAAATATTTTCCTCAGAGGAGGAGGAATTCTTTCCCTCATATCCCCAGGATGGGGAGTGTTCAGCATTATGAGAGGCCCTGGCACTCTGCACATGCTCAGAGACTCATTCAGTTGTTCTTAATAGGTTCCGGGCAAGACCTCTGATATCGAAAGAAACGGACAGAGCTAACCCGCTGGTGCATATTGAGATTTGTCTGGCCCCGACACTGATGACATTTCGGTGCCAGGTCAAAACCTTTCTGTTCCAGAAGGCTTTTAATTGAAATAATACAGTATTAGCTGTGGGTCCAATGGCAATTTTTATATATATTTTAATTGCATTTTAATTTCTCCGATTTTTTGTTGTATTTTAAATGTTGTAAGCCGCCCAGAGACTTTTGGGTAGTGTGGGCGGCGTATAAATTAAATAAATAAATATTAAACCCAACGCACAAGCAAAAGTTATGTACGGCATGAAAGAGCGCCAGAGGAGCGCAGTTTGCGAGGCCCATAACCTTTTCCTCAAAGGGGCCCAGAGCCAAGAGGTGGAGCCTCGCCCGGCCCTAGAGCGGGAAGAAGGTAGGCGAGGGGAGGCGGCGGCCCCGTTGCGAGTCCTGGCAAAGGGAGAGGGCGCGCCCACACGCCGCCCGATCCAAGCCCAACCCATGGCCGCCGCCGCCGCCTCCTCCTTTGCGCGCTGCTGCAAAGGGATCCCCAACCCGCGCACCCGCCCGAGCGAACCCAAGCAGGGGCCAAGGCCGCTGAGCCAGGACGCCAGCGACGACCGGCGCAGCGGCAGCGGCTGGAACAACCCGGCCCATAGAGCCGAGCCCGCCCTGGAGCGCCCTGCCGCCGACCCGCCCAGCGGACAAAACTCCGGAGAGGCTTCCCTCTGCGCGGGCAGCGAAGGGTTAACAGAAGTGGAGCAAAAGATCGTGGCGCTCCATGAGGAGGCATGCGCAGTGAGTGGCTTTCTTTCTCTCTCTCTTATGAGCGGAGGTGGGGTGAGGGGGGGAAAATGAGTTGGTGCAGCGGCTTTTTCGCTCCGGGCTGCTTGCTGGAAATCTCGCCCGAAGGGCAGGCGAAAGACTATTTCGATGGGAACACACCCCGAAGACTAGGAGATTTTTTTTTTAAAATAACAGCATTTTAGTGAACGAAGATTCTGGGCTTTGAACGCCGAAGGGCAGAAGAGGCAATGCTTTCCCCCCCACTCCCAATGTCGCCATTACGAAAACTTTGGCTTTTTCCTTCTCAGGGAGCTGTGAAGGGCTCCTGGCATCGCTATCAAGGGACATCACCTTTGCAAGCACCGATGGGCCAGGCTTGAAGGTCTCCAGTCAGGGCCAGGGCTGCCATGAAGTAAAAGAAGGCAACTAGCCTGCCTCGGGTCGCAGGGTGTTGGAGAACCGAGTTGTGCATGTCACAGCACAGGGCTGGCCCTACCACCACCCTAAGTTACCTTGCAGCCTTCAGGATGCTGCTGTTCTATCCCTTGCGTTGGAAGTCAAGTTTGAAGAGCTAGTCCAGGCAGGTTCATATTTTAAATAGCTTTCACTAAAAGTGTCAGAGCAACATCCTTCACAACTCATCTGATCCCACATGACCACCTGCTGTCATGATCACCAGTTTCTACTGCAGAGCCAGCTGCTTCCCTCCCAGGAGTGATTGCTGGCCAGTGGCTGTACATTTTCAGCCAAAAATTGTGGGTTTTTTTCTATGCAGTTTCATGCACAGATAACATGGAGCTTTCTCGCATTGGTAAAATCCTACCCTGATAGTGAACAAAGCATCTGTTGGAAAGTTTTGCCCGTTAAAAGTATAATTAGTAACCACCTACAACACATCTCAGTGTCCGGCAAAACCATAACTAGTCAAATGAAATTTGTTATCTGGGTAGGCAGACAAAGTAAAACTGTATTTTTACATTAATTACCATCTGTAATGTACAAGTTTAGGGTTTCTGATTTAATCTTTTGTATATATGTTTTTCTGTCTCTTTAATAATCATAACATTTGTATTGCAATTTTCTCTTAGATTTTACTATATGTATTTGTAACTTTTTAATTTGCAAAAAAGCATAATTCTGACTACCCAAAACTAATCAAGGAACAGAAGTCTGGCAGCCATTTTGAATCGTTATAAGTAGCATGTGTCACCATACAGAGAAGTCTGTAACTCAAAAAGTCTGTACGTCAAGCCGTCTTGTAAGTCAAGGGTCCACTGTACCCAAAACTAATCAAGGAACAGAAGACTGGCAGCCATTTTGAATTGTTATAAGTAGCATGTGTCACCATATTGAGAACCTTGCCCAGGATAGCCTATTATTCAGTCCCCTAATCATCACCTCTTATCAAGACATATATAATCTATGGTTAATTCAATCTGTGGTTTACAGCTATGATCCTCAGCCCATCCAGGCCGAGACCAAGTGCTGATTCAATGGCAGGTAAAAGTAAGGATAACGCACAGCAGATTTTGAACTGATTGTGACGAACTGGGATTATAGTCCTGGCTCTTCCCCTGATGTTGAAACAGTGTAAATATACCTGCCAGGGCTGGCCTTGCCACTAGGCAGAATGAAGCAGCTCTCTTGGACAGCAGGATATCATGCAAAAGCAGCAAATTCTTATCTGTCAGATTTGTTGTGGTGTTTTCTGCCTTACATGCTAAATTAATGGTTGTCTACAAGCTTTGAATTGGGTGAGGGATCTTGAACAGCCATGATGCCTGCTTTTCAGGCAAAAACAAAAGAGAAATTAAAAACAAAAGAACAACATTTAAAAAGGTAAAAAATGTTGTGACACCTTAAAAATGTTTTGACACCTTAAAAATGTTATATTTTAATGTGAGATTTTGTGGATAAAGTCCACTGCCTGCTTTGGCTTCTTTTTTCCCCTTTTCTTTTACAGCCTTAAAAAAAACCTATACATTCTCACCTTCACAAAACCTACCCTCTTGCAATAAAACTCAAAGGGACCCCTGTTGTGATTAGCCTCCCAGGCATGGTCCTTTCATTTCCCTTCCCATCACCATTCTTTGTCTGGGAAGCATAATTCCTGAATAACCCCTGCTTTCTTGCCTTCTTTCTCAAGGCAACTTCCTAACAGTCATAGTTATAAATGACTATATGCTGGAATGCATGTGGGTAGTGTCTGGCTGAATGTTAGAAGCCCAGAAGTGTAATGGGGGGAAAATTGGATGGTAAAGCATAAGTCTGCAATAATTCTCCCTTTCTCATTCCCAGAACGAACCAGGGAAGAACATAAAATTATACTAAAGAAACAAACATGCACATAGGTGCTTGATTTACATTATTTATTCTAGTAATTTGATTCAGTTTACTGTGTGGAATTTGTATTACCTTGGCAGAGAATTATATTCCCCATTTAAATTACAAATAGAGGAAGAATTTAAAGGAAAAGGCTCTCTGGGGAGGATGAGCTAGGAAAATAGCTAGGAAAATATCCTGAGCCTAGTATTTTTTTACTCTAGCCATGTCACTGCTTCAAACAGCTTTCTGCAAGTTGGTGTCCACCCCCGTTTGTTGGACTCAAACTCCCATTGCTTCCTAGCTATTATTAGTAGAATGAAACTTGTAGTACAATAAGCTGTAGGGTACCAGTATGGACGTGATTGGTGTAGAATACAGTCAATGCTTTTCTGTATCTACACATTACAGATCAAGACAAGTATGCTCCAAGAAAATATGTCTCCTATTAATAATCTCCCAAAAGGTTCACAAGTACATAGGTTGAAAACAGCCAGTCTGTTCACATTTTATTGTAATGTTTGTGTTCTGGTTGCGTGTTCCCCATGTACAACTGGTAGAATGAGAATACCAGGAATCTCTAGGCAGGGCAGGAGCAAACTCCTCCCTGAAATCCCAGAAAACCACTAGCAATTGAAGATTATTGTACTGCACCAAATGGACCAATGATCTAACTCTGGGTAAGGCAGCTGTTTATGCTTCTAAATCAAATCAACAGTTTAGAAGCACTCTGTTAAAAATTATTTTGTTACCCCCTATTTATTAGTGTTGTAAACAATGATGTCCAAATCATCATTGTTTTATTTTGTCAAGTCTGAACCAACTTGTAGCAACCCTAATAGGGTTTTGAAGGGAAGTGAGATATTTAAGGAGTGATTCTGCCTGTTTCACTCCCTCATTGAGTTTCCATGGCTGAGTCCCAGTCTGGGACTCTATCTACTACACCACACTAGGTAACTACAAAAAAATATTAGTATTATTATTTAAATAATTAAATTCCAAGATAGTTCAGTAGCTATTAATCTTTCATATTTTGTTACATTTTAATCGTTACTTTTGCGGAGGTTAACTCTGCCCATTTTCAATCATGATAGTCGATTGTTTTAAAGTTTAAAGTAAATATGTTCCTAATGCATTGTTAAAATTGATGTAGGAATTTAATTTTATGATTTTAAATAAAATGGTAGATAGTAATGACTTAAATATTAATGTCTTATTTTTTAATTAATATTATTTATTTATGTTATTTATAGACTGCCTTTCTCCCATAGGAGGCCCATGGTGGCTCACAACAATTAAAACTATACAATAATCACAGATTTTAAAATACCTTTAAAATATACCAAAAACAATTATGTTACCAAAAACAATATGCAAGAGAGTTTACGATTCTGTAGAAGTATACCCTTTCCCCCTGCCCCCTGTCTCTCCACTTCCAATTAAAAAATGTCAGTCAATGGCCATATGGAATTTTGGCATGATTCATTTATATACATATTTCCCCCTGAGTGTCTTTACATGGAATTAGTTCATGGGCACAGGGTTGAAGACTGGAGGCAGCATCTGCTTTGAGTTGGCTTTCACCCACAAGTGCCCCACCACACATTAAAAACAAGTAAACATTTATCAATATTAAAACCACAATTAAAAATATTTTTAAAAATATTTTTAAATCTCTAAATTCAATGAACATAATATTCTTGAGATCTCCCCAAGGTTCCTTTTAAGATGGGTGCAGGCACATGCAAAACTCCACCTCCCTCTGTGCAGCTCTCTTCCTCCTCCATGCATTTAACTCCTTTGGTGAGGTGGAGTTGTGTGTGAGAGAGGTGGGGCAATGCCCAGCGGGGCTGAAAATTAAAGCAGAGCAAAGCGTGCTGCTTATACACCGCCCCATAGTGCTTCAAGCAGACTCTGGGCAGTTTACAAGTTAACTATGCAGGCTCTACATTGCCTCCCTCTGTGCAGCTCTCTTCCTCCTCCATGCATTTAACTCCTTTGGTGAGGTGGAGTTGTGTGTGAGAGAGGTGGGGCAATGCCCAGCGGGGCTGAAAATTAAAGCAGAGCAAAGCGTGCTGCTTATACACCGCCCCATAGTGCTTCAAGCAGACTCTGGGCAGTTTACAAGTTAACTATGCAGGCTCTACATTGCCGCTCCCCCAGCAAGCTGGGTACTCATTTTACTGACCTTGGAAGGATAGAAGGCTGAGTCAACCTCGAGCCGGCTACCTGGGATTGAACCCCGGATCGTGAGCACAGCTTTGGCTACAGTACAGCAGTTTAACCACTGCACCACAAGGCTCTAATTCAGGGGTCTCAAACATGCAGTCCGGGGGCCATTTGCAGCCCGCCGGACGATAGTTTGCGGCCCCTGACTTGCCTGCGGCTCTGTGGTGGGGGAGAGCTGGCGAGCAAGGCACACTGCCGTCCCTTTTCTCTGAGCGCCCGACCCACTGCCGAGCAATGCCTGAGAGTGGAACTCACTCCCGGCCCATCCTCGAAAGTGCCTCCAAGCCGCCAACAGCATCTACCACCGCCTCTTCCAGGGAAGCAGCTCTCTGGCTCTCTTTCTCTCTCAGCACCCCCAGCACCAGCCCGGCCAGCGGCCGCCTCAGCACCCAGTGGTGCTTCCTCCTCCTCCTCTTCATCCTGCTTCAGCCGCCTCAGCCCTGGAGGCTGCTTGGGCTCGCCTCACATCATGGTGGGGGGTTGCTGCTGCTGATTGCACCTTTTTTGAGGGGGCCCCTCAGAGGAAGGCTGCCGGACCGCCATGTGTGTGTTTTGTGTGCGTGCATGTGCGTGCGAATATTCTTGAGATCTCCCCAAGGTTCCTTCTAAGCTGGCCGCAGGCACATGCAAAACTCCACCTCCCTCTATGCAGCTCTCTTCCTCCTCCGTGCATTTAACTCCTTTGGTTCTGGCCACGACAGAACCCTGCACATGGGTGAGGTGGAGTTCTGTGTGAGAAAGGTGGGGCCCCGCCCAGCAGGGCTGAAAATTAAAACAGAGCAAAGTGTGCTGCTTATACATACCACAAGCACTCTCTGGGTGGTTTACAAGTTAACTATGCAGGCTCCACATTGCCCCTCCCCCAGCAAGCTGGGTACTCATTTTACTGACCTCGGAAGGATAGAAGGCTGAGTCAACCTTGAGCCGGCTACCTGGGATTTGAACCCCATGTTGTGAGCACAGTTTTGGATGCAGTACAGCAGTTTAACCACTGCACCACGAGGCTCTAATTAGATGGTCCACTGGATCTCCCACTTACTAGTTAAAAGAAAAGGAAAGGTAAGTTTTTGCCTAGCGGTCAAAGGACAAGCAGGAGGAGACTAACCTGGCTTCTTGGGGCAGTGCATTCCAAAGCCTGAGAGTAGCCATTGAGAAAGGCCTGTCTTGTGTCCTTACCAAATAAACCTGATAAGAGGGTGTAACTGAGAGAAGGATCTCTCCATAAGTCAAGAAGACTCATATGGACTTAAACACAGAAATCTCCCAGCCTTGGTACAGTTTACATTTGTTAAACTGCTGTACTGCAGCCAAAACTGTGCTCATGACCCGGGGGTCAATCCCAGGTAGCCAGCTCAAGGTTGACTCAGCCTTCTATCCTTCCAAAGTTGATAAAATGAATACCCACCTCTTTGGGGGTGGGCAATGTGTAGCCTGCATAATTAACTTGTAAACTGCCTAGAGAGTGCATGAAGCGCTGTGGGGCGGTATATAAACTTTTGTTGCTGAGATCCCAAAACTGAAGGAAGTACTACAAATCATCTCTTTCTTTCTTGTAAGATTGGACAGGATAGTTATGTGCTTGAAGCGCTATGGGACGATATATAAGCTTTTGTTGCTGAGATCACAAAACTGAAGGAAGTACTACAAATCGTCTCTTTCTTTCTTTCTTGTAAGGCTGGACAGGATAGTTATGCGGATCCAATCACTGGCTATCTGGTATTCACCAGAGTTGCCCATTTGCAGAGGGGACATTGCTGTGGCTCTGCCTGCAGACATGTAAGTATGAAAAAGTTGTCATTTAGCACAGGGCTGGAGAACTTTTGGCCCTCCGTATTATTTTGCCACTTGGCATGTTATACCTTCCAGGAGCTAAGGTCCAAAACATCTGGAGAACCAAATCTATCCACACTGACCCAGCAGAGTGCCATGAGTAAATCCTAAATCAGTCAGATTTAGAGGCTGACTATGCGGGATATATGGGAAATACTACATGTTTGGTATGATTTGATTCACATTTTCCCATTGAACACATGATGCAACCCTAAATCAGTCAGATTTAGAGGCTGACTACGCGGGTTATATGGGAAATACTACATGTTTAGTATGATTTGATTCACATTTTTCCCATTGAACACATTATGCAAGAGGAATGTGAATCAGCTGGAGTCCCAGAGCCCCAATTCATAGTTTTTCCTTCCCACCAGAGATCCTTCTTTTTATAAGTCAATGCAGAAAGGAAAGCCCAGTCAAGTGCATGCACATAAACACAAGACATGTAAGTATGAAAAAGTTGTCATTTAGCCCAGGGCTGGAGATCTGTTGGCCCTCTGTATTATTTTGCCACTTGCCATGTTATACCTTCCGGGAGCTAAGGTCCAAAACATCTGGAGAACCAAATCTATCCACACTGACCCAGCAGAGTGCCATGAGTAAATCCTAAATCAGTCAGATTTAGAGGCTGACTATGCGGGATATATGGGAAATACTACATGTTTGGTATGATTTGATTCACATTTTCCCATTGAACACATGATGCAACAGGAATGTGAATCAGCTGGAGTCCCAGAGCCCCAATTCATAGTTTTTCCTTCCCACCAGAGATCCTTCTATCTTTTTATAAGTCAATGCAGAAAGGAAAGCCCAGTCAAGTGCATGCACATAAACACAAAGCAGTGCTTTGGCAAAGCAGCTTCCTCCTGCCTCACAAGCCGGGCATGCAGACACATTGCACACACACATGTACACATGCATGTGAGCGTGCGCGCACACACACACAGGGCAACACTGGTGTTGTTTTTGTTTTACAGGTTAAGAAATGACTGTGAGGGCAAGAGTTTTTTTTTAAAAAAACTAGAAAGATGACAAGATGAGGAAACTGAAGTAGGAAGTCTTTTTATTGTTTGTTGAGGCCATTCTTTATAATGGTGCTATCTACAGGCTATACACAGAACTGCAAGCAAACATTTAAAAAGGCTCTTCCTGGATTCCTGCATGTCCACTTAAATCACACAGACCCAAATTCATTGGTGCAAATTCACAGTGAATGAATGCGAATGAATTCACATTTCCAGTGCTGTGTAGTTGCACACATTGTTATGTGCTGTCAAGTGAGAATCAATTTACAGTAACCCTAGCAGGGCTTTCAAGATAAGGGAGATATTTTAAGGAGTGATTTTTCAGTTCCACATCCCCAGTGAGGTTTCATGGCTGAGTGGGGAATTGACCCCTGTATCCAAAATCCTAATCCGTCACTCTACACCACACTTACTTTGTGCTGCACCTGCTGTCAGCTATAAATCGGATAAAATGGTGAAGTCCTCATCTTTTTCTTTTATGTCAAGCTATGATTTGCTTCTTGAATCACAAACCCATCCAAGGTACAGCAAGAATGGAAGGCATTTGTCTCCATATGTTGTTGGGCTATGGCTATCATCAGTTCCCATATAGCCAGTGGTAAAGTAAGAGATGATAAGCATTGAATTCCAATAACATTTGATGGGTGATGTGTTCATGCACAAGTTCCACTAGAGTCCACTTTCCCATAAATGGGGAAAGCTGCGGGATTCTTGGTGGACCTTTACTAATACAGTTGAAAATATGCCCACTCATAGTTCAGGTAAGATGAAGTGATGGATTGTCAGTTGATACATACCACGAATACATTTCTTTGGGAGGCAAATCTGAATTTGTAGACTCCTATAGTCAATCTACATTTTCTCTGAAGTAAGTCCTCTTTGGGTATTATAATGTTCCTTTTTATAGTGCTGCAGCCTTGCTTTTAGTAGGCTTTAATTCTCTGTGCACCCTCCAGATTTGTCTCATTTTATCACTGTGACTGGTGACACTATCAGTGTTAAGACCCTAATGTTCTGTTGTATGCATGCTCATGGGAGACAAAATCCCATTTTAGAAATTGATTATTATTCACAAATAAATCCCACTTATTTCAGTACAACTGATTTCCATTATTGCTATGAAGTGCTTTGAGCATTTCAAAGTGCTGTATCAACACTCAGAGTTTATTTGGAAATTTATATCCTGGCTTTCAATGACAACATCAATCCCACAGTAGTTTACTGCAAAAACAAAAACAAAACCCAAAGCTGAAAATAGTATAACTGCATAATTACCCACAAAATGTATTCCCTTTTCTGTTATAACAAAAAAGCCAAATAACGAGTGGGGAGAAGCTAATAAAGCAAAAGAAACATAAATTGATTTCATAAGGAGTCTTTGGTAGAGATATAGTTTCTAATGTAGCTACATCTATTTCCTTGACATGTTACGAAAATACACCGATTATTCTTCTGTCTAAAAACAATGTTTTCAGATATAGCAGTAAGTTGTCATAGTTTCTACCTCTTCCAGACAAAATGTATGCATTTCTATATGCTCGTGTTTATTCAGAGATAAGTCCTAGTTCAGTGTGGAGAACTCTCCAGCAAGTGTGTCTGAGATTACAGATCTGTGGTCTTAGCCCTTTGTACTGATACAAAGATGGTTAAAATGTAATCACTTCAAATATCAATAATTTCTCTGAAACCCTTAGTGCAGGGGCTCAAAATCTATGGCTTACTTCCAGTGCATTATGGCGTAGATCTCGAACACATGCTTGGATGTAACTACCACTCAAATTGAACTTGATTTTTCAATAGTAAAAAGGCTTAATGTTTCACAATGAATCTGACTGTAGCAAATGCCAAGAGCTGGTTCTGAATCTTTACTAAGAAGTGTTGCTATGGCAAAGATAATGTCAGAATACTTTGTAGGATGTTGCCTATTGAAAAAAGGCTAGTTTACAAACAACATGCCAGTGATTCTTTTCCTCTTGTGTTTAATTAATTATTTTTTACCATCAAGTCAGTTCCAACACATGGCAACCCTTGTAAGGGTTCCTTAGCTAAAAGGCACTCAGAAGTGGTTTATCATTCCTCATTTTTGTGCTTTTCTGGACAGTGCAGTTTGCCCAAGGCATTATGGGCTGACTCTTCCCCCTGGAGGTGCAATGGGGAAACATACTCCAGCACACTTAACTCTCCAGTCCTGCACGCATTTGTACAATATTTTGATACAGAGTAACTGTTTGGTGAACAAGCCTTCTTTCATTCACAATCTTTCAGAGACTGACCAGTGGGGAAAAAAGGATCAAAGAAGCAATCTGTACCAATGTCCATTCTCCACGTGGCCATGACAGTTCTCCTAGCTACACAGGATTCAACCCTGAGCTCTCATCCCACTATGGAAATTTTACCTGACTTGTCAACCTGTAATCAGTTTGATTAGTTAAATTTGCATGTGAATACAAAGTATATCTGAAGAAAAAGGCACAAATTATTTATAGTTGTGTTTTATCAGGCATTGTCTTGGAAGAGGCATTCTGTCATTTGTGGAAGACAAGACAGGAGGCCTGGAGATGGTGCATGCCATCTGCCATTAGCCTGGACTGGGAGAGGAACATGTAGCCCTCCAGAGGTTGTTCAATGGCAGTTCCCATCAACTGTATAATTGTAGACAATCCTTGTTGTTGTTTTTATCCTACCAGAGGTTAGGTATCATAATGGCTATTTTTGAAGTGACACCTTGTGTTTCAAATTACTCTTCAAGGATTGTCAGCCAAAGCATAGTCAGTGGTGATGGATAATGGGAGTTGAGCTATTTGGAGGGTCATATACTGCCCATCTCTGATCTATATAAAAATTAATCCTAACTTTTAAGGGAGGGGGAAGAACACCAACACATAATAAAACAAAATCTGCTTGTCCAGAGTTGTATTCAGTGTAGTATTTAGAACATAGCAGACACAGTTCAGTCTGAAGTCTTCAGCAGCTGCCTTAGAAATTGCTGTTCCAATGAGGGCAAGTGAATAAATCATTGAGGCTCACTGGCTCTCCACAGGCAGCCTCTGTGTCTGTCCCATTTGACAGTCTGAACAAGATTTAAAACATCTCTGTGTTTAGTGAGGATATAAAGGCTTGCATCAGCCTGTTCATACAATTGTATAACATTTGCTTCAAAGCTCCTCTGAGCTGCCTATATAAGGATGCAGGCCTCTGCAAAAGCCCCCTAAACACAGTGGAACTTTACACCGAGTTTGAGTCAAAATTCAGAGTTGGCCTGCCCTGAGAATTGGATTCCCACCTAGCATTCTATGGGTGTAGAAGTAGAACTCTGTCTCTCCCCCCCTCTCGTGTGGGTTTCTAAGCAAGAAAGGCTGCACATCAGTGGGTGGAAGGACAAGCATGTGGTCCTCCTTGCAAGTGTTGTTGAATTTCCAGTCCCTATCATCCCAGACCAGCATTGTCAGTGACCAGACATAATGGGACTTGTAGTTAAGTAGTATCTGGAAGGGCATAAGTTCCCTACACCTGGTAGACATTGTATGTAGAAGAGAAATGGGTTTCAGATCCTTCACAGGCCTTATGAATCACTATGTTTCTTGGCCAGTAATTGGGACCATTTGTTTGGGGAGGGGGACAAGGAGAAGCGGAATATGTGGCTTAATTTCTCCCCTGCCTTTTGAGGCCAAAAATGATTTATGAAACATCATTAACAGTTCTTCTTTTAACCATGGGCAAAGCTAAAACCTCGTCAAGAATGACTTATTTCATATCTCTCTCTCCTTCTACAGTGTCCATATGGCCAAGCCAACGTTAAAGATCTGTCCAAAAAGAAGCGGTTCAATTCCTTTTTCTACACTTGAGGATTGAAGCTTTTTCTTTTTTGCATCATACCATGAAAACTGAAAGTTGGGGAAAATCAACCAGCACTCCCACCTTTTCCTTCTTTTATGCCCTTTCAATTTCCTCATTTTGCATATTGGCTTTCCTTTGACCTCTGCTGCTCCATATCCTGAATGTTTTCTAATCATAACTTTAAATAATCCATGTGTGTGCCAGTGATGCTGAGTCACTGACAAGGCTATTCTGGCTGCAACAAGATGGTCGCTTTGCTTTCTAAAGTCATCAACCAGCCATTTCGGGACTTGCTTTTGTTTTGCTTAGTGGTGCTGCATTCTTCTCCTTGAAACACTTTAAGGATGTGCCTTCTTGAGTCCTGCTAGATTAGACTGATATTAAAAGACCAATCTTTTCTAGTACAAAGACCAATCTTTTCCAGACAGATCCATAAGATAGTCATTGGGTGGTTTTTTTTTAAAATTTCAGTGTAATTATATAATGCAAGGTGTAACTGGATAGTAAAAACAATAACCACTGCAAGCATTCTCTGTTGAAAATTATTGGATTTAACATCTTCATCCTAAGTACTCTGATGCCTATATCCTAAATATCTCTGTGACACAGCCCTATATATTTGCATTTCCTTTATTTCAGGGCTGGGGAACCTGTGGCCCTCCAGATGCTGTTGGATCTCATTTTTCACCAGTCCCCAACCAACCAAGCCCACAGTGGGGGATTATGGGACTTGTAATCAGTCAGCATCATTATATAATGAGGACCATAGATTGTACAGTCCTACTTTACTTGACATTTAATTGTACACTCATAAGCAAATGGATATAAAACTACAACTATACCATGATTTCCTGCGTAGTATTCACATAAGTTATTTATACTGGCTTATTTTATATTTGATGAACATGCCTTTTTTCATGCCTTCATGGAAGCAAAGTGTGTATTTTCCCTAAATGTTTTCCCAGCACTTTATATTCAGCTGAAATAAGTGCTAATCCTGCTAAGCATTCTTGTAAGAAAAGTAAGAGCAGATTTCCTTTTATCCTTTTCAACTTCAAAATGGCCTTTGGTCTGACACAATGGTTACAAATACAGTAAATACAATGCAAAGTACTACACAGTAATTGAAATACAAACCTTGATTATTATGTATTTTGTAACTGTCAAAGCTGTGCATTTTTTCCTGCAGCTGATTATACCATCTTTTAAAAGCCTTCTTCATTTGTTTCAGGAACTTTGTTGAATCCATATTTCCATCAAGGAGTAGAGCTTGGTTTTTGGACTGTGTTTCTGCAGTGCATTTTTGAAGTGAGTTAGAATAGCCAACATCTTGTGGTGATTTATATATACATAAATTGCATAACTCATTGTAGTAGATTGCTGTTTACTAATGAAGCACCACTCACCTTACCCTGTGTTTGCCAGTTGCACAATCCAGGTGGACACTCACAGTGTAACCTGTGGCTTGTCAGTGTGCAACAATTTGCTGCTGTGACCTCTACAGCTCAACTGATACATGGCTAAGTCATAAACCAATAGATCTGAAATGTCTGTGTGAATCCCAAAAGCAGAGCACAAGAGTAACAGCTGCATACCATTGTGTCTCATCAGGAGCTGTATTTGCCTCTAAACTCACAAGTTCCATACTGCCATCATGCTGCTCTCGTCTCTTGTTTTTTCAGTCACTCCTTTCATGGTGCTAGAGAAGGTAACAATTCGTCTCAATTGTTAGTCCTGAAGGACTCGAATCCTTTCATCTTTGTGTTGGCCCTGTCTAACTGGCCTGGAGGGCAGACATCTTGTTTAGAGGTTTCTAATTCTCTCCTTTTGCTGCTGTGTTTGCTTTACTGGAGAACTCTTGCCCACCCCGGACATTGACTGTTCCACACAGCAAACAAAAGCAAACAGATGCAAAATGGTATATTTTATGCATGTTTACTAAGATATGTGTCCTGATATGTTCAACAGGGCAGTCCAAGAGAACACACATTTGGTGTAATACAAATTCAGACCTTGTCCAAGCTAAGTGGGATCCAAGTCCAAATAGAAATGTAGAAATATGAATCTTCATATCTCCCACTGGCTTGTATTGGGAAACAAGGCCATAACTTTTTAAAAGAAATACCTAAAGAAACATGGTGGGTTCTTCAAAAAGGATCACATTGTCACATTTCAGGGAGAAGGGTCTACAAAATGTAATGCTATCCATTTTTAAAATTTGACTTAAAGCCAGCCACTGTTACTTCAGCATTTGCTAGTGTTTTCTAATGTGTGTTCCACCTTTTCAGCAGATTGAAATAAAAATAAAATTTTAAAACCTAAGACCAAACTGAGAAAGGGGAGATACGTAAAATGGCACTCTTTAATAAAACTACTAAGCTTTTTGAGAGACGAACATGCACACACACACGCGTGTGCACACACACACACGTATAAACAAATAACGCAAGGTTGAGGTGGGGTTGGAATAGGATTAGGTGGGGTTGGAATAGGATTAGGAAGGGGCCACTGAAAATTGGGTAATGGCAGGATGGAAGGAATAGAAGCACTATTAAAAAAGATCCTCCTTAAAAAAAACAGCTAGTGAAAATGTAAACGAATACATATCTCAGGTAAACACTGCTAGGAGAATGTTGCTGAGATTTTTGCCCCCTACTGGAACCTAAAGCTACCAGTAAACAAAGTCCAACCCCCTCCCACTTTCTTTACCTTCTTTTTTTCCTTGTACAACATGGTGTCTTGCATTTTGGACACATGGACCAAAATCCTGTTGCTCAGCATAGTAAATTACACTAGAGCAGGTCCCCATTGAATCAGTGGGGATTTGGTGAGTCAGCTCTTCCATATATTCCATTGATTCAAATGGATCTGCTTGAACAACTTACTTTAGCATAGTAAGTTGCAATTAGAGTAGCCCCTTTTGAATCAATGTCATTTACAAAAGAGTTGATTAATTAAATCCCAATTCATTCAATGAAATTACTCTAGTGTATTTTACTGTGCTAAGCAACAGAATTTTGGCCATTCTTTGTTCTACTGTTTGCGGCGGTTTGGACTGATCTGATTCAGACGCAATCTGCGTAAGTCTGAATCTGCCTAGTTTGGTTTGGAATGTTTGTAAAAAAAATTTCCAAGTTTGTACAGGATTGCCCAAGGCTAGACAGGCTGGTGTTCTTCTGGAAGACACTGGGGGGAATCAAACTCCCAGCCTCTGGCTCTACAGCCAGTTATCTAATTCACTGAGCTATCTGGCAAGCTGCACAGTCCCAGGGTACCCGTAGAAGAACAGGATTGCTGCCTGAGGTTGTCTTTGGGCAGCTCGTATTAGGATAAGGAGGGATTCCACCCTTTCCTCAGTGCTAAGCAAATAGTCAATATGAGTATCTTCCAATACTCAAAACCAGCAGAAAGGACAGGGATGTCACTGTAAATCAGTGCTAACAAAGTTGTGAATCTCTTCCCCTCTTTTGCTAAAACAATATGCACTCTTCCTCCTGAAAGCCTAGAAAACTGGGCAGTTGTGTATGTGAAGGATGGGGAAAGGCATAAAGGCTAATCCCAGCCAACAACCCAATGTACAAAATGTGTTGATTGCTTGGGGCTGGTGGATGCGAACGCCCTCTACTTCTGTATTTGTAAGGAAGCGACTTGTTCCACAGTACTACTCAGTTAAAATCAAGGCACTCTGAGACTGACTGTCTAAAGAAGGTTAGCATGGTGTTGTAGTACAAAGTTTGGGAGGTACCTACAGTCTAGCAACCCAGGAGGTTGCTCGGTTTGCTCACTTCTTTAAGCTACCACTGTAACCCATTCACACATGTGAGCCACTACTTGATGCTACTGTGACATGTGTATGTTTAAAATATCCTTTACCTTTTTCCCCCTTTGGGGTGTGTGTGCTCTGCAGTTGATTTCAAATTATAGCAACTCTTTTCAGCGTTTCTAGGTATACTCAGGAATGGCATACCATTCCCATCTTCTGTGGGTACTCTGTGACAGTGCAGCTGTGCCCAAGACAGGCCAGCTTTTCTCCCAGGATGCTCAGTGGGGAATCAGACTTTCAACTTCTTTCTCCCTAACTCTCTGAGGTATTCAGCCAACTCCATCCTTCAACTACTTAGACATTACAGTGGTGCCTCGCATTACGAGCACTCCGTTTGATGACGAAATCGCATCATGACGAAGATTTTACGATCGCAAAAGTGATCGCAAAACAATGTTCCCTATGGGGTGACTTCGCTTTGCGATGATCAGTCCCCTGTTTCGCTAACCGATTATTGCAAAGCGATGATTTTCGGCCAGCTGATCGGCAGTTTCAAAATGGCCGCTGGGTGAAAAACAGGGCCACCCACTGTTTTCTGGCACAGATTCCTTGCCGCACGGGCAGCGAAAATGGCTGCGCTATGGAGAATCTTCACTGGAGTGTGCGTTTTAAGCCCCTAGGAACGCATTAATTGGGTTTTAATGCGTTTCTATGGGCTTTTTAAAATTGCATGACGTTTTCGTTCGACAGCGATTTTTTCGGAACGAATTAACGTCGTCATGCGAGGCACCACTGTATTTGATTTAAGCCCAAGTTGGCATTGTTTCCACATTGTTCCAAATGTGGTTTTATTGTTTTTTCAGTAAGTACATAACAAATAAATACAATTGGATACCTTTCAGTTATACATGTTTAAAAGGTAAGCCATCCATGCACAATATTGCTAGATATGACCATTTCTCACTTTTATGTTATGTGCTGCCAAGTCACATCCCACTTATGGTCCATTATAAAAGAGTTTTTCTTCAATATGTGAGGTATTCAAGGAGTGATTTTATCCATGCTATCACCCACTGAGTTTCCATGATTGAGCAGAGGTTTGAATTCAGGTCTTCTGTGTCCTCAATCCACTGTATCACACTGGCAATAAATAGATTAACTCAATAAATATTGCATCCCTGTGCATGACAAATGAACGAAAAAAAGTGTATTCTCTTGTCTGACAATGCACAAATCCCAATATTTGGAAGTGATTCTTTTCTGGCCAGGCTGGATAGGGAATCCTGGTACCACACTCTCTAGTGAGTTTCCATATGGCCAAGCCAGATATTGAACCCAGGTCTTCTCAGCCCTAGTTCAATGATCTAGTCGCTGCATGATGCTGGCTTTCTTCCCAGACTTTCTAAGAAGTGATTTTATTATTGAGAACTGACTTTACTGATGAAAAGATACCTTCATTTGTCTTGTGAAGCTGTGACATCTGATGAATGTTTTTATGATTAAACCGGAAACTGCAGCTTGGTTTGTTAATTCAACTACCAATGAGTTTGGAGGGTTTGAATCACTTTACCTAAAGGTAAAATATAAAACCAAACCAGTATTTAAAAACAAACAGAGTTCCAACAAGAAGAGATTCATCTTTGAAATACATGTAAGAAAGACACACCTTTCTGTGCATTTTCCCTCCCAGTAAAGGCACAAACTGCGTAGCATAAGGCAGGTTTGTATCTGACATGGAAGGACTTCCTATATTCCAAAATCGAGCTCCCTAAGACATTTAAACAAACAAAAGCAGCAAGTTTGCAACCGGACGCACCTTTACCTGGGAGCACAATAGGACTTACCCCGGAGCAGACATTGAAGATCAGACTACCTGAAGATCAAGGGGAAGAAACTGAGCAATTTTGTCAAAATGTCAACTTCTGTGCTTTTTTGTTTAAACCTGAAGTCTCTGATCAATGCATTTAGCAGAAGGACGTGCCCTCCCGAAGCGGGGGAACGGACTTTGCCACTTTAGTACATACCGGGGTGCAGTCTCCCTCTGCCTCGATTTTAACTGACTAGTGCAGCAGAACTAGTCCCTC